ACACACACACACACACACTCTCTCGTATGGTAGGCTTTCCCCGGTGACCTGGATACACCCAGAACTGACACTTTATCTACTTAGCAGTGTCACCTTCAAAAGCCTGCACCAGTGACACACACACACACACACACACACACACACACACACACACACACACTACCTCATCTGTAAAAAATCCCCCCACAAATAACGTCTGTGTGTGTCGGGTTTAGGGGTCTCCATCATGCTGTTTTTAAGGCAGCGGCTTCATATCTATAATTGAAGGTAATCGGCTGGTAAAAGGATTGTAAAGGCTTTTGTGCTGTAGTTAAGAATTGATCATAAGCTCTGGCTGTTTCATGGTCCTGCCATTGACCTTGTAATTGATTTGGAGAGCATTTTCTTTTTCCCTCCACTCTTGTGTTACGGTTTGATACAGTATATTTGACTTGCTTGTAGTGTCTATACATGATTGATTCCTTTGTTTTTCATGTTTGTCTTTGTTTCCCGCCTATTCTTCTGAGAACCAATCAGGATGTGGGGTGTGGTACACGTAGGCTGAGATGAGCCTTGCGTTTAAGTTTAGGGAATACATCCAGTGCAATGTCCTCACAAGTATAACAAGATGTAAGCCTGATCACATGTGCATGTGAGCTCACATTGGCAGCGGGCTGACCTGTGTTACTGCGAGTGTAATTGATTGTGTGTGTGCCGGTGTCTCGGTGTTTAGGTTAATTTCTCTAACTGCTGGTAAGTGCTGTCGGACCGCTCCCCTGGCGGCCTCTCCGAGCTGCAGTAATGCCACTTAGAGGCCCCGGGCCCCCGCCGCCGGCCAGCCCATTGATCCGCTGATCGATAATTGCATCTGTAACGTACACGGAGCCGGGGAAGCTCCCCGACACTGACCTGACGCTAACACACCAGGCCGGTGTGGGGCAAGCTGTCGCAACACACACATGGGGAGCAGACTGCGGTCCGGGGATCACCTCGCAGGTCCTTAAAGAGGTTCCAGAGGAGTCTCCGCCTACATCGGGTTCAATTCCACTATCATTTCATTCATGATGGGAGTTATCCCATTTCACTCATTTCCATCACTGTTGTATCTCCACGCACAGCAGACAGCTGTGTTCTCCCCAGATGTTATTTTGATGGACACTTAAACAAGACTAAGAGCAAATCAGAATATTAAAAGAATAAGCGCATGCTCATCATAACAATTTTAACGCTACTATTGGATTTTAGCCCACTTACAATAATAAGGACGGTTTCTATGACTCCCACAATTCTTAGCGACCCGGCCTGATCTTAAAAAACCCTTGTGTTGGCAAATCGCTGCACCTGCCAGCGGTTATCACAAATAAGGGCTATGCTCTGCAGTTTGCCATTTGATTTATTGCAAAATGTAGAATGACACTCCAAGATTCCTCCATCCACATATCTCTGCACGATGTCTGAATCTGAATTTGTATTAATTAAGTTCATATAATATTCTCCAACATATACTTTGAGCTCTGTACACATTTCTCATTAGTCATTGATTTAGTTTTAATGTCAGACTTTCCTGTCATCTGAACATCCAAATGACATCACTGCCCGTCCCAGCATTCTTTTCTCTTCCTCCTGTTGTTTTATTCCTCTCAGGGAGCCTCCATCTTGTTTCAGATCACAGCCAATAAAGCAGCCTGCCTCTCCCTCTCCTCCTCTCTCCTACTTCCTGTTAAAGCAGTCAGTCAGTCGGAACACTCAAAACACATATTAAACAGGCATCAGCCTCTCGCCGGGGCCAAATCACGCTGTTCAAATGTTGTTCTTCCACCGGGAGCGCAGGACAACTGAAGAGATGGGATCTGCAACATTAACTTGATTCACGGCTGCGGCGACTGAGTGACACTCCATAAACCTCAGCGGGCCGCCGCCGGGGTCCCGCCGACAGCACCCCATGGCTAATGTGACACACACACACACACACACTAGCAACGCGCAGCCGTACCACCCCTACAAGCACCACACACACACACACATTTATATAAGTGAGCACACGCGGGGACTGGCATGCACATACAAATAGGTATAGCAGCACGCGTTGTGCTGACACACACACACCAGTAAAGCCTGACCTTAACATCCCGCCCACATATTGACACGTGCATCCGACGTGCATTCAGAGAGGCGCATGAATGCGTACATGCATTAACAATATATTTGGCACAAACTGGCAAAAAAGGGAGTTTTACCAAGCCGAACATATACATAGAGTCAGGAGTTCATTCACTAGCATGCCCTCTACACACACACACACACACACACGTGTATATATATAATACAGCTTTTATGGTAATGCCGCAGAAGCTGAGTTATTGTCCTCAACAGCCGACCCCTCAGCCTGCAGCGCTTTGGCGTGGGCAGTTAGCATGGGCCCTGTAGCTCTGTGTAAATAGGTAACCTCTGCTGCTCAAAATGCCAACTCCGACAGTGCCGACTCCCTCCACACACCAACTGCTGCGCTTGTCACTTGAGATACAAATTGCAGAGTGAGAATTGATATTTACTGCACCGACTTGTTGCTTGTGTACTGCAGCATCACAGGTTTTTTTTTGTTCATCTGCCTTAAAACAAAGGCACATTTCTTTTCTTATGCTATGTAAATCAGGAGAGAGAGAGAGAGAGAGAGAGAGAGAGAGAGAGAGAGAGAGAGAGCTATGCAGCAGATGTATGGAGATAAAGTCTTGTAGGTCACTTAGAGCTATAATGCAAAATGTGGCCCCGATATCAATCTAAACAAGGCTGCCGAGTACCAAGAGCCCTCCCTCTTGACAAGGCCCTGGTCTGATCGCCCTGGTCGTTGCGCTAAAAGGAAACGGCTCCAGAGTTGGTGGTAACTGCTCTTGCCAGGTATGGAAGTGAGTGGGTGAAAAGAGCTTTATCCCCCGGGAGAAAATCACCCCGTCCATCTGCACAAAACACTAACTCTTCCACCTTCCTTTGTGACGAGCGATGTGGAAATGTCTTTTGTCCAGCGTTCTTTCAGTTTTAGCTGCTCCCTTGAATAAACGTGGCGCTTGTAGACAGGTGTGGGCGTATGTGTGCAGGTGTCATTAAAATAACAAATTGTCATCTTTCTCGCTTTTAGGACAGTGCCAGCTTTTAACGATTTATGATACTGTATGCGAAAAAGAGTGAACATGCAGCACAGGACAGAGTAATACACAGTGTAAGCAGTCTTTTGCCACTCTTCTCCTCTGATATTGGCCAAATTGAGCAATGAAACAACAACCAGTCTTTACAGCCTTGAAGAAACTTCTAGAAAAGGACAGAAAACATTGTATTGGTAATTTAAATGCTCTAAAATGGAGTTCTTTGCCAGGTCTTAACAGTTCACTCTGATGCTGGATACACTCTTCACACATACTCGTATATTCGTTGTTTCCTCCAGCGCATCATGTACAGGTTTGTACTATTTTGGGAGTGTATCTGCGCAGGACTGATCAGTGGTCGCCACCTACATGTCAAACAAGAGCTTCTGTGCCTGTTGTTTACACGGGCGGAGGACGGAGCACTGTTGGGTCAGACTCAGTCTTTCTGATCACATTGTCAACCTGGTGAGTGCAGGACATTAAATGTCAGGGGGCGATAGGAACATCAATGATTGATGAGTCTGTTCCTGTATGTACTGTGAGATCTGTGTGATCTCCACGCCGCCCCGGGGGGGGAAACCCCGTACCACCGAAATGTCAACTTTTCAGGAAATGAGATAAAAGCAACAAAAGTTATTTTTGTTTTCTCCAAATAATTTGATGTTTTGAAGAGTGCTTTCTGATTTTTGAAGACTAACGGGTTTTACAATCCACAAACTTCCAAGTGCAGACCTTCAGGTGGAACTAAAACAGAGCAAATCAGGGTCAACGTCGTCCTTCTGCGACATGTGTGTGTGCTTCCTGTATTTGTACAATAAGTTAATTTGTGCACAGAAGCCGAGGCGTGAACAGAGTCCCCCCCCCCCCCCCCCGCCCCCTCTTCACTGTCTCAAATTCCCATTTTCTGCATAGATTAGCCTACAAATGACTGAGCCAGGCGCCGTTTAAACAATGGCGTTTCTAACACTGTTCCTATCACCTTGGAAACGCCATGGCAACCTGTGATCTGAGAGGGCACAGTGTGGCTCAATTAGCACCAGCCGTGTCTCACCACACTCTTCCGCCAGCCTAATATCTCCATATTCTGTCTCCTTTCATGCATTAAGCGACACAAATATGCGAAGTGTCGCATTACCTTTTATATCAACTTCTTTACAGCTTTTTTTTTTCCCTCTTTGTCACAGTGATGGATCCACAAACATAATACGTTTATAAGAACATTAAGAAAGAGGATGACTTTAAACGGTTGTGTGGGACTGTATGTGCAGTTTATTTTTGGTCTTTTGGATAATGATCCTGACCATCTTTAGCTCCGATGGTCTTTTTTCCGCTCGCCTTTCTACTCCGTTCTCCAGAAATGGAATAAAAACCCCCAAAATGCAATCAAATGTGTCTCTGTGTCCCCCAGGTATCGTGTCCAAGTCTTTCGAGTGCCGTCTGAAGGGTCAGGGGGCGACGTTTGTGGAAACGGAAGCCGTGGACTCCCCTGTGCACAATAAGGACTCATCGGAGGCGTCCGTCCACGACGAGCCGGTCCAGCAGGTCATCATCATCCAGGGCTACAGCGACGGGGAGGTGACCATCGACCAGGCCCTGGAGGAGTCGGCCGCTGCCACCTTGCAGACGCTGGCCATGGCCGGCCAGGTGGCGGAGGTGCTCCACATCACGGAGGACGGACAATTCATAGCCTCGGGCAGGGAGGTGGCTTCCGCGGGGGCCCACCTGGCCGGAGGCGGCACCCAGTACGTGGTGCTGGATTCGGGGGAGGCCAGGAAAGAGCTGCGGGCCATGGCGAGAGCAGGGGGACAAAGTCACATTGTCTCGGAGTCGTCCACAGCCCTGGACGCTCTGCTCAGCGCCGTCAGCGAAATGGGCCACCACGAGGAAAGGCGAGGGGAGGTCCTGAGCCCTGAGATAGCCGCGGCTGTGCAGAGCGTAGTGCAGCCGGATGTGAAACATCAGGAGGTGCGGGTCATCCGGCAGGACGGGATGCAGGAGGTGCTGCAGCTCGCCGCGTCCCAGATGATGAAGGAAGGCCTAACCCAGGTTATTGTCAATGACGAAGGAACGCACTACATCGTGACAGAGCTGGACAACTGCACCTTGCAGGTGGAGGGAGGCGTGTATGGAGAGGTCGGCGGAGGTGACGTGGAGATGCAGCAGGCAGAGCCGCAGGCCGGAGAAGAGATGGTAGTCTATCTGGATGGGACCCCTCATAATATAGTTCTGGAAGGGTAGCAGAGAGAGACATTTACTAAAAGACGTACATTTGTTGTTACATGTCCTTGTTCAATTGCGATGAAGCCTACATATTTTGTTTTTACATCACTTCTGTTTGTTTTTTACTATGCTCTCCTAGGCTATGCTAAACTCAGGGTAAACATCATTTATCGGGAGGGACAGTGGTGGAAACTGGTTTTGGTGCAAAGTGAGTTAACTTGCAATCCTCACATCCACCAAGACTACATGAACCACTTGATTAATGCCATGCAACTTCAGAAATATAATTTTTGAAAATGCATCTTATATTCTGAGTGACCATAAAGCAAAAATATCTATTATGCTCTTTGTTTTCTTTGATACTTTTGTTTAATATTACCTTAAGTTTTGTTTGTTAGAGAATTTTGATTTTGACACAATTATTAATTATTGTCCATTTTCGTTCCCCATACTTTGTAGAGATTAGCATATTACTAGTTATGAAATAACTTGTTGGACAAAAAAACTCCAAGACAGATCTTACAGATGATTTATATGTAATAAAACATTGTTGGTAATTATATATCAGCTGCTTGTAAGTTCAGCTTTGGGGAAACCTCTATGAACCATTAATGCAATTTCATTTCTGACAATAAAAATTGAGTCTAATTTTTTTTAAACTGTGTCCAGATTTTTTTCTTCGCCGCATTTGCTGTTAATCGTCATGCCGAGCATACATTTCAGCGTCAATAACTGCCATTCCATGTACAGCACAGCGCATATCCTACAAGCAACAAACATACATCAGCTGATGGCTCCCATCATGCTTTCTGATCACTAACACAGTCATTATCATCACCATTATCATTATCGTCATCATGATCACCATCATCCTAATCGTCATCCTCTCCTCTCTCCCCCCATCAGGCCCATTCTGTTCATTGCACACAACACACTCATCCTTCCCCCCCCCCCCCCCACCCCGGCAGTCTTCAGCACTGGAGGGAGAATCAATATTCATTTAGGCCCCTACACAGGCCTGGTTTCTGATGGAGTGAGTGGGAGAGCAGTATGACGGCTGAAAAAACACAACGGCCAACTGCTGAAAGTGGCGAGACAAAGCACTCGTACACACAGAGGGCATCAAAAGATCATCCCTTCAACACACACACACACATGCACGCCGAGCGAGAGAAGGTGGGCTCAGAGAGAAAGTGGTGGAGCGGTGGCCAGGAAAAATGAGAGGATTACAGATGGACGTTGAGGGAGGTGAGGCCAGGGAGAAGTGAAAGAGCGGTGAAATCCACAACCGCACAGACAGAAGGGAGCCTGTAATTTCACATAACACCTGTCTGCCTTTCAGCCTGGCTTTGTCTCCTGCTCTCAGCCCAGTGTTGCGTTTATAAACTCACACGGCCTCTTCGTGCTCATGTGTTCAAGATAAACACATTTAACAGTCGTCCCGTTCATCGTGTGAGCATCCATACGTTGCCTATGAGCCAGAGTTTGTTAACACTCAGTGGTAAAAGATGCAACTGTAACATGGTCTGTTTTGGAAATTGCTAAATAGCCATATGTTATTCAGGTTTGATATCAAAATATGGAAAGCAGTGTGTGGGAGTGATGATTTTTTTCGTACATTATGACTTGTCGACCAAAGAGTGACTTTTGTTTGAAGTCTTTCTAGAGGTAAGAAAAGTAGTCGGAGGAAAATCCCAGATTTATTTTGTGACCTCTCGGGTTTCCCACCACTGTTTACATAACTAAAAATTTTAGACAGAAATTCCAGATTCACTGAAATCCAGATAATAGATTTGCTGGTGTAAAATGATTCATTATAATATTTTATTTCATTTAGATTCATAAGTTTGAATCTGCTGCATCACATCTTAATGTTTAGTATGTGTTTGAATAACATGCTCTTTTAATATATGAATATCTATAGATCAACCACTGTAACAACATGAGGGACCTGAGCTAAGCTGAGTTCATGCCCTCCACCAACATCTCCAGTTCACTGTGTGTGTTGGTGTTTTTGTTCTCAATAGGAATGTCCATCTGCGCCCGTGCTCGCACATTATGCTACATGTCTGGCCCAGTGATTGTGTACTGTATTGTGAGCATCTCCGCCCTCCTCCTGTACGTCCCTAATCAGGGCTGGATGGCTCATTATTAACTGCAGCAGGCCACTCGTGTGACATGGAAGAGAGAGAGAAATTAGCAGCTGTCGCCCAGTGATGAGTTCATTTCCTGACAGGCCTCTGCTCTGAAGAGTCCTGCTGCAGCGGACCAGACGGCTGATGGAAACCTGCTGCTGATGCTTAATTGGAGAGCCGGAAAAGGGCAGGAGGAGGAGGGGTCGGCTCGGATGGAGAGATGCGGGCAAAGGAGTGGGAAGGAGGAAGTGACACATTACGGTTACAATGTAACTATTGAAAAATCCATTGCAGTAATTTGACTTCTTAATCACCAGTTTGTTGGTATTATTACGTATGTCATTTAGTTACCTGGCATGCAACACATTATAATCATCTTGTGACTCTACCCAGAAGTATGTAAAATAATTAAAGTTAGCTCCACCGATGATCAAAATGCTGCTTACTCTTTAATGCATCAGTAACCATTATTAAATAATATCACATGCAGTATATAATAATAAGATTCATTGGGTGGCTAGAAATATGATTCAAAATGAACGTTGCTCTGCATTTGCTGTGTGTGTAGGCAACTGGGTGCAAACGAGTCTCAGTTGTATACTTGTGCTATGCTTATATACTTGTACCTTTTTTTGAATAAAGTCTCTTCATTTTCACTTCAGAGACCGAGCTGAACAACAATAGTTCAAATATAAATGAATACAGTCATAAACAATTGACTTAAGTTTTATTTTAATATGGTTTTATTTATTTTTGTCATTAGACACTACAGTTGTGATAACTTATTTTTCACCCATGCCCATCACTTACTAAAAATGACCGGAAGTTCTTGTGGTTCTTCTTCATGTTGTTGTTGTTGTTGTTGTTGTTGTTCTTCTTCTTCTTCTTCTTCTTCTTCTTCTACTACTTCTTCTTCTTCTTCTGTGTTTATTGGCGCTTGGCAAACCAATTTACCGCCACCTCCTGGAATTACTGGAACATTTGCGCTTAAGTTACTAAAATGACCAAATACCTGCGCAATTTAAGAGCACGAGGGGAGGTCTGCGACGTCGAGACACGCCACCTTGCTCCATGCAACGAACAACGTTGAGCTTCTCAACATGTCGGAAACAGTGTGAACTAACATTAAGTTGAAATGGTTATTGAAGTCGAGCAGAGCAGAAGACAACGCATCTGCACGTGCCACGAGTCCGCCAGAAGTGCGCGTTTCACCTTAATTAGTTGCACTTCACCTGGTGGTGAGCTAAGGTTAGCTTGTCAATTATGTTATCCTAGTTCTGCTGTCTGTTAGCAACAAAATAAGTGTCTTTAAATTAAACATATCTGGCGCTGAAAGTGTAAGTTTCTTAGTAGTATTCCCTATTAAAAAAACCGAGAATTTGTTCTAATGTGGAGTTGTTAGTCACTTTCAATATGTTGCTAGATGGTAAAACAGCTACTGTGTTCTACAGAAAGTTACAGCGTTGCTTCACTGAGAGAGTAAGGTTTGTGGCTTTAATATTTACTTCATAAGATGTGTGTTTTATTGCTCACTCTCATATTGGCTGAGCTGAAACAGTTCTATTTTAATGTAAATTGTGTTAATATATGCTCAACATATTTTGTCGGAACAAATAATTCCATTATCGTTTGAGTATTTGGAATTGAACTAGAGAATGACAAACAGAAAACAGAGACTATAAGCCTGTTGTTTACATGCAGGTCAGGTCTTTTATTGAGGGAGGAGATCCAGTGAAGAAGATCCAACGACTCCAGTAGACGGCGAGCCTCTCGGCTGGATTTCCAGGAACTCTGATCCACTTTGCCCCTGAAACAGCTGGATGAACATCTGCTTTGTGGTAGGATCATGCCAGTCACCTGGATTGGCACCAACTCAAACACACAATATACTTAAAGTTTGCACCCTGACTCATCAGACTCTTGACAGATCAGACCTCCATCTGATCCGGACTCAAACGAAGTTGACCAGTTTCCCCAGTGGTCACCAGACACTGACTTAGAAGTACTAAAGTGTGGAGAAATCCCACATATGGACAAATGCACACAATGACTTAACTATACCAAGCTTTTCTTTGGTTTAGAGAGGTTTGTATTTGTCACATCCATTTAAATGTTGCATTTGTTTTGCTATTCAAACTCAAGTTGCATAGAACTGGATTCACTTGCGTTGTCGAGTTTATGGTTACTGCGCTCAAACTGTCTTCCTTTCGAACCTAGCGCGAGGTGTGCTTACCCATAAAAGTCTGTAAAAGTTCCACATAGACTAGCATCTTGCGGGCGGAACAGCTGGTGCTAAAAGATTAATGCCTCTGCACTTTTTACTTTGAAGGCAGGATATTTACTTGTGATGTGGTGTTTGTACATTGTGCTACTCTAAGGATGGGCTAGGTGGGAGGAGAGCGTAGAGTACTCAGTATGTTGGGTGACACACACACACGCACACATATAAATGCACACTCTCATACATGGAAACAGTAACTTGCACCCTCTCCCGGGGGCAACTCTCATCACTCTCCTGGGGACAACTGAGAGGGACAGGAGTGTGGATGGGGGTCTCTTTCTCTCTCCCGCTCTCTCTGTTTCCCTGAGTATGATAAATATAGCAATTCTGTTTAGTCGCCATCTATAGAAAACATATCAGCCTGGGGATCATTTTCCTAATGTCCCTGCTATTAGTTTTGGCTTCCCTTTGGCAGTATTAGCATGCCGGCTGATATGCTCTGCTTGTGTGTGTGTGTGTGTGTGTGTGTGTGCGTGAGTGTCCTCGGGGCTCCAGGTACAATTCTATTAAACCCGACTTGTTTGTTTATTTCCTGTCTGTCTCCCTCTACATGTGCCCTGCTTGTTGGAACTTCAAATCCTGGTGTGTACATACATCCGTGCTAACATCGATAGACCACGTAATGTTGCGTGTACAGTCGGAATCCGGTGTTTGTTTTGTTGTTGCTTTAAATCGATAGTTGTTCGAGGCAGAGGTGTAGTGCAGGGGAACTGTCCACGGTTCAGTTACGGTTCATCTCTTCTGTGGGAGTTATTATGGGAAAAGGGGGAGGAGAGGGGGAGGGAGAGGTATGTGGGGAGCCCTGCATGGCTCTCCTCCCTTTTCTCTTACTTTTCCTATGTGGCTCTGCATTTGTGTCTTTGATCATGTTAATCCCTGCCTAGCGCCCACCGCCCCCCCCCCCCCCCCCCCCGCTCTCCCTGCCATAGACTCACTGCCACACACACCTCAGCGCCTGACAGAAATTGACAGCCCACTCTATCCCACTCACACACCCCCCTCCAAAATGCCATTCCTAGCGGCTTACCCCCCCACCCCCAAAAAAGAACAAAATAATACACCCAGCACCATTGACCGTCTGCAGCACTTCATTAAGGAGAAGCCGTGATTGAAAAGGGATCTGATTAGCTCTCTGTGATGAGATAGCAACGTTTCAACCTTGAACCAGAAACAACTGTAAGTGCTTTTTAATTAGGCACACAACACTGTGGAATAGCACTTCAAAACATAAAGAGAG